TTTTTTATTATATATTTACCATTTGAATCAAAACCAATATCATATTCGGAATCAGCATACAAAACTGAGTTGATTCATTTATGTTTCATTGGTTTCTGAGACGATTGTTTTGGGGTGTGCGGTGTGGGTGTGGGGGTGTGGGGATGGGTATGGGGGTGGGGGTGGGGGTGGGGGTGTGGGTGTGAGTGTCAAGACGTTCTTCGTGCACCGAAAAAATAAAACATATAACTAAAATCAGTTTCCACTTAACATGATCTAAAAATATCCACCTGATGAAGTCCCGCCAAGATAGAAACAACTGTTGTCGTGGAACGGCGATTAATCTAAATCACACCCACTTGTGCTTTTAGAAATCTTTGATATTTGTTCAAAAAAATTTTCATTTTAAAGATAGATATTGACTTCTATAGTCGACTAAGATTATAGTTTTAAGTTAATTCTATTTGAAAATTTAAAATGTGCAAAAGTTAAAAATTTTAATTAATTATTATATTGAAAAGTAATTCAAATGTTATATACCTATATTTCAGAATTACTCTCTAGTCGATATAATATTAAGTAATCCACCTGATGAAGTCTCACCAAGACAGAAACAACGGCTGTCGTGGTACGACGATATAATTCTATTCACACACCCCATAAATAAGCACGAAACGCGTCAGCGAAAAAATTTAATTCTGCATTTACTCGATGAATTTTGAATTTAAGCACATATTTTATTTAGTTTTGAAATTTTAATTTCGACTGGGAAATCGGTTGTTGAAAAGCAAAAGCTGAGATTAGCAGATTGATTTGTGTTTTTGTTAAAGCATAGATTGATCTGTGTTCGATTTGAAACGTAACGATACTTGCAGTCTTATAAAGCCGGAGCCTATTTGTTTGCATCAATATTATTTTATTTTTTAAATATTTATGCAGTGTACTCTTACTTGCTATGTTATTTTTACCTTGAAATTCGAAACATGGAGGTACACTTTCGTTATAAGACCTCATTATCACAATGGATTCCGTTTTTTAAGATCAATATTTGACCTTCTACAAGCGGAGAAATTTGTTTTGGACTTTTAAAAGTATGACATTCGGAATCAGCATAAAGTGCCATGTGTATTAGTTTCTGTTTTGATATGGTTTCGACAATTTTCTTATTCAGCTCAAAACTTTACCGCTGCTACCGCTCAATGATGAAAAAAGTCGAGTGCAAGAAAGATCAAAAATCGAAATCAAAATTAATTTCTCCTTTTGTTTGAAGTTGACATATTACTGATCTAAAATGCATTTGCAGTATAGTAGTGAACAGATTGTTTTGATGAATTTCATTATTCCATCCATCTTTGAAGGATAGCAGGGATCAAAAATTTGAGCGACATAAGACAATCATAGAAATAGTATGAAACAAACACGAGTCGACTTACTATTTTTGTGTTGATTTCGAATATGACACTTTAAGAGGTCCAAAACAAAATCCTCTAGTCGAAAATCGTTAAGTGTTGACTTCGAAAGAGAGGGATTGTCATAAGAGTAAATATTAATAAGAAAAGTAAATCTTTGGGCGTCGAATTTCAATAGAAAAATGGCATGGGAAGAAAGGAAGCATCAAGAAAGGCCGTCCATGCTGGGGAGGAGGTAAGATGCTGAAATTTACACCACTTCTATGCATCGTTCAAAGCCTCGTTGAGTACAGTTGCTTGGAGTTTACTGAAGTTGTTTGCCATGATTTGTTTCAAGAGCTTATTGCAACAATTGTTTTTAATCAACACTGTGTAGTTTGTTGATCCCATAAATTCGTTTAAATGTAGTTAATTTAATAAGTCTAAAAATATACCAATGTGATGGAAAAGGTTTTTGAAAAAGAACGCAACAGTAGCATAGAAAATAGTAGTTTTTGTAGAATAATCATAAGGATCAAGATTACTGTAGGTTATTTTATTGATACATATGCACGCCACATGAATACTGTAAAGAACACAAGATGATACAGTAAAACCTCTCTATAGTGGACACCGAAGAGACTATGCAAGAATGTCCATTAGAACGAGGTATCTACTTTCGAGAGTTCTTCGAATTTTTTACTGACTATTTGTCATTATAGTTCATAATTCGTATTCAAATGATTTTCTTGATATCGCAATGCAAAATAGACCTTTTGAGAATATTTTGTGATTTATTTACATCCAAATATTTACAGTATTTTATATACAAATACTTCTCTAAACAATAAATTATTATATTATTACATAGGACAAAATATTAAACTAATCAATAAAAGTAAACTATTAAATCACCTCATAAAACAAATTGTTGAACTAGCTTGTTGTAAAATCAATTACTGAATCAAAATTTAAACATAAATTAATTAAAAAATGTTTCAATTAAATGGATGCTTAGTGAAAAAAATCTGTTATGCAACTTTGTTTACACACTCTCGAATCAAAATAAAGGTCAGTCATTTTTGACTCGAGTTCACTTATAAGCACGTGCAGTTGAGACTGTTCCTTCGACGCAAATAGATGCAGCCGTCTAAGAATATCTAGTGCTTCGGGCAGTTTCGGTGGTATTTCTTGCATTGATTCTTCTTCTTCCATTTCTTCACCGTTTTCAGCAGCATCATAATTGATAACTTCAATAAGGTCACTGTTGTCATACCATTCGTTAAACACCGGAATATTTCAGTCGATATGAACAAGTTGTTCAGCCGAGTTTCGATTACCGCGAATATTTAAGTGAGTAAGAAGATCATCGAGTTGTTTGATAGGATTTTGGTCTTCACTAGAATTTATAAACATAACACCGTCACTTGAATTCAGAATTGCTGATGCAGGACTAGAAAAGCCAGCTTCTAGAAAGGCATTGCAGATAGTCATATTTGTAACCATATTCCATGCCTTACTAATCCATTGAACAGCATCCAATGTTGTTGCTGTAATTTGATTAATACTATAAGCCATGGTACACTGAGCAATAATGACACTTAAAAGGATGAATAACACCTAGATCGAGAGGTTGCACTAAATTGATTGTATTAGCAGGAGAAAAACAATTTTACGTTTGATAATTCTACGTCGACTGTATGACAAGGAGCGTTGCCCAGAAAGAGAAGAATATTGCGTGAGCATTTTTTCATTTTTTTATCTAGTTTGATAAGCCATTCTGAAAAAAGTTTTGCGTTCACCCATACTGTTCTATTGGATTTCCATGTTACAGGAAAGTCAGCTTTGTTAAGATTTTTAAAGTAGCAAGGCCGATGGCTTTTTCCTAAGATTACAGGTAGAAGTGTTTTAGAGAGTTATCCATAATGACTTGCCAATAACTAATGGTTTCAAATTATCAGAGCCACTCCAATTATAGCAAAGTAACACAGTAAAGGGTTCTTTGGAACGTTTGCCACCCTTACAGCCTTCCTTGTGAAGAACCAGTGATCGATCAGGAATAGCTTTAAACAACAGCGCTGTTTTATCTGCATTGTAAATATCATTTTCATCATATTCATCAATAATTGTTAAAAGCCGATGTTTCCACTCTTCGGTTGTTGCTGTAGGTACTTTCGCACTTTCACCAGATATTTGCCTACATCCAATCATACGTCAATATCAAAACTTTTCTAGCCATCCGTTAGAAGCCTTGAATTCGTCTGATTGCACAACGATTTCTTGTGCGATCTGTAGAGCTTTTTCTTGCAATATTGGACCTGATATCAAGATTTTCTTGGATCATTGAGCGGTGAACTATTCGAAGAGAATTTCATCAATTATTTCCCATTATCGTTCTTTGATTTACGCTTTACGCCTTTATTAGTATTCATTAAATAGTCATCTTCGTACTCAGTACGACGACTTAAGGTGTTGGCAACGGTACTCTTCAAAATCGAACACTTTTCTGCTGAGTTACGGATTGATAAACCATTGCCACTGCTGTGATCTTTAATCAATGAAATTTTTTGTTCGAGCGTTAGTTCGTGTCGCTTCATCATAAATAAATGATCGTGAACCCCTTCCCATAATTGAAGTCTCCAGGAGCTTCTAAACTGGCGAGCGTTCAAAGTTTTTGGCGCGGGCTTCTATTAGATCTCATGATTTTTCGAAAATTCTAAGTAGAAAACTTTTCAAAAGTCCTACGGGGTTTTCAGGGTTTTTACGGGTTGTTTGAAAGATTTCCGAAGATATTTCGAGATTTTGATACCGATAAATAAGAGTTTAACACATTTTTGCCGTAAAATCTTGCAACTTCTTAAATTGTACTATGAAAAACTCATAAAACTTTTCAAAACATTCTTAAATATTTTTGAAAATGAAAGGGGGCTTCCAATAAGTCTTGCAGATCAACGTTTTCGGAGGGGACTTCTAATAGAGGAGGGCTTCTCATATGGGAGGGGCTTCTATTATGTGGGGGAGTTTATGATCAATTTTTCTCTCACTGTTCTCTTTTATATTTGTTTCATTCGTCTTCTTTTTTGTTCTGTTTCACATTCATCTGCCTTCATATTATTCTGTTCTTGTCTGTCTTTATGTACACTTTGTTCAACATTATCCGAATCATGATATTTAATGAGTGACACACAAGTTCTATTTGAATTTCTATCTATCTGTATAAACATGCTCATATTCGATTGAACGATAAAAGGATGAACTTGAAAAAATGTCCACATTAGAGAGATTGTTTACTGAGGACAGGACCAGGGAAAAATGTCCACAGTCCAGAATAGAGAGGTGTCCACATAAGAAGGTTTTACTGTAGATTTGAGCAGGAGACTTACTACTAAAATGATATGAAGCCTTTCACTTAGCTCCTCCTAGAATGATTATAGATTTGGAATGTACCCATGATCTTTTTCGCTCCAATAGGCACATCCTATGCCCACCCATTTATACTTCTATACTTTCCCACTCATTAGTTTCGATATTCTTTTTCTGTTCATTACCACATAAACGAAAACGTCTTTTAATGCGAAAGTTTGCTTCCCCAAAAACGAAACCATGTTAAGTAGAACACTGCTGTTATTTCAGATGGGTAAAAAGAATTTCAAAGATCTTTATCGACGTATCAAAAGGGAACACGGAACTGTGACTTGTGAAATATCCGTTTTCTCTGATAAATTCAATCCATTACTTAGATATGCTGGTGTTATTATCTACGCAATCGATGGAAAATTTGAATGGGAGAACTATGGTGAGCATAGAAGACAGTACATTCCGCAGAGGTGCATTCATTTATATGAATCCTTTTTATTCATTTTTATAATGGATAGAGGGTGGAAAGGCTTATGGACGAAGAGGAAGAAGTTTTTACATCATTATACAATGTACAGACAAATGGTCAGACGACTACTATAAACCATCAGGACAAGGAACTGTGCATGACTATCTCTTGAAAAACGTCATAGGTATTGAATCTGATCAGAAGCGCATTGCATGTGGTGGGTTTGCTTATCTCTATGGAGAACTAAGATTTAGTAGTATTTGGCTCAACGGTACGGACCAAACTGATGCTGAGAGTGATGGAGACAGATATTTGAGCGATTCTGAAAAGGCCTTGGTCACCTATTGCTGGGAGGAGTACAAAAAGCATGGTGCACATCACGTATTCTCTATTCCGCTTTTTATAGATGAACTATTATTGAATTAGTTCATCATACTACAGATTCGTACCTTTCTTGCACTCGTGAATAATACTCTTATCGTTCTTACTCTTCCAAATACATGCTTATGGACATACACATGATATGTTGTCTTTGTAAGAACTGTAACATAGATGAGAAAAGTTGATGAATGATTTATTCCTCTTTCGTCTTCACTGTCTATCTTCATTCCAAATTTGTATGACTCTTTGTGGCGAGATACGATTCTTTGTGTATGCCAAAGAAGCTTCTTTTATGTCAGCCTAGACCGCAAAAAAATGACCAACAAGTGGACTTGAGTTACGGCTGTGGACCTAGAATTGTCGCATCCAGATCGAGGTATATACTATAGCTAGATGCAGATTGAGACCCAAACTGAAGGAGGAAAAAGCAGAACTTCGTACTTCACGTACTTCATTCGTACTTCACTATATTTCACTGTACTTGAGAGGTGCAAAGTTTCGTTTCTGTGTATGACTGTGGCTGTGAATGTGTGGGTGAGGGTGAAGGTTTGAGTCCAGCTAACCAAGATCCGGATTTCGTTCCTGTTAAAGAATTCATCAGTTAGCTTTATTTCTGCAATAAGGGGTGAGGGGATGAGGACGATTATCTTAAACAAATATAAGATGCCGAATGACAAAGCATTAGATGAGTTCATTGAAGAACTATTTATATTCCTTTTACTTGTCCACAGAGTTATATTTATATAAATTGAATGAATATATCCACATGATATGCTCTGTTAAGTGCGAAAGACAAAACAGAAAGAATCCTTTAAGCAGAATGAAAATGGAACCCACATTTTTCAATAGCCAGATTTCTGGTGGGTGGTGATGATGGATCTGAATTTTGTTGTAAAAAATCCTAGTTCTGACCTAGTTACTTGTTAGGTATGTCCAGTGATGTGGGATGGTTTTACTATATGATGGTGTTGTGCTCAGCTCGTTATACCTAGGGGTGGGAAGTTCCCGTTACCGTTCCCAGGTAACGGGAACGGGAGAACGGACAGGTGAGTGTCTACCGTCATCAATCCTGTAGCCTCGGCCCTCCAGTCCTACTATTGGGGTATCCTTTGGTCCTCAAGTTCTACTATTCCGGGTATCCTTGACTCCTCAACTCCTACAATTGCGGAGTATCCTTAGGTTCCCAAGTCCCACTATTGGTGGGGGGGGGGGGGGGGGGGGGAACCGTTGGACCATTAAGACCAGCTATACTACACATTCCCCAGATAAAATGGAAGAGAAAGCTCCTGAAATCTCATTGGTCAATTTTTTCGACCAATCAGATTTCAGGAGCTCTCTTCTTTCATATTGTTCCGACGAGTACTACCCAAGCAGACAAACATTTTCAAAAACGCATTTAAACGCACGCAAAAGGCTTAAAATCCACAACAAAGTGGACGTGTTTGGCTTACAATCGCGGCTCCCGACTATCAGCGAAAAACAACCACTTTTTGTGCGTTTAAACGGGTTTTCAGCAAAAAAAAACGCTTGTAAACGGGTATAAACGCATAAAACGATCATAAAAACTTGTCATCTTTGTTATACTCGTAAATCACAAACATAATTACAATCACAGTTTACGAAAATGAAAAAGATAACTACTTTTTATGTTCTTTTTATGCGTTTATACATGTTTACAAGCGTTTTTTCTGCTGAAAACGCGTTTAAACGCACAAAAGGGGCAAAAATGATTGTTTTTCGCTGACAGTCGGGAACCGCAATTGTGAGCCAAATACGCCCACTTTTTGTGGATTTTAAGCCCTTTTTTGTGCGGTTAAACGCGTTTTTGAAAATGTTTGCCTGTTTGGGTAGTCATGTTCGGGCCGATCTTAGGGTTCTCAAGGATCCTCTATCAAATAAGAGGTATATGTATGGGGCTCTTCCCGAAGAATCATCGTGGAATAGAATATCGCAATCTGATTGGTCAATTTTTTCGACCAATCAGATTTTAGGAGCCCTTTTCTTGAGGGTGTGGGTGTGGGTGTGGCTGAGGGTGGATGTGGATGTGGGTGTGAGTGTGTGGGTGTGGGGTGAGGATGGGGGTGGGGGTGGGTGTGGTGTGGGTGGGTTGGTGTGAATTTGGGTGTGAGTGTACGGTGCGACTGTGGGTGTGGACGTTAGTATGGGTGTGTGAAAGTGGGTGTGGGAGTGAGTTTATCGTCTAGATCCGCATTCAAACCCCACTGCCGCACCCACACATACCCCACAGATACCCACACCCATGCTCAAGGGGAAAAAGTAATTCCTGCATCCCCGAATTCTAAGGAATTGTTATAGTTTCCAGTGAATTCTCATAGCTCGTGATGAGTCCTAATGGTTCCTGACGGAGCCAAAAGCACCTACCAGGACCTACTGGTATCCATCAGGAGTGACCAGAAGTCACTAGCATTCACTGGGAGCCACTAGGATCCATTAATATCGGGGATCCAGGATCTGTTTTTTCTTCTTGCCCACATCCACCAAACTCATCCAAATTCACCGCACTCACACTCGCCAGACCCACTCACCGCAGCCGTGGCCACGCCCGCACCCAGTTCCCACATACAAGCCAGCACCTAGCCGTCACACGCACAACCACTCACACCCACATCCACACCCGCACGGAGCCCTAACACCCACACTCAAACCCACATTTATACCGACACCGACTGCCTCTTGAGGTCTATGTTGATAAGTTTTTTTTTGTTAAAATCAAAAAATTCCATATTTTTCGTCACTGCCGAATTATTTGTTGACCAATTGCCTCAGCACTATTACCCTTCTGGAAATAAGGTATGTTTGCACAAATTGTCTCTAAGTTAGCTTCTTTAATTTAAATGGGTTCATTCTACTGTCGAATGGAAGAAGTTTTCGTGTAGAAAAAAATGTATTTTTTTAGTGGAATGCTCTAGATTATTTTATAAATAGAAAATCGAAACAATGTAGCAAATAAATCAATCACTAGCTTACACGACAGATAAAAGATATCAATGATACTCAGAATCAGTAATCATCAGATTAGGAAGGACCTCGTCAATAAATAGCTGCATTTAAACAACGTTGAAGTAGTGCTAACATTTCCAATGACGAGCATTCGTATGTTGGTTGATTATTTAACTCTTTACGAAATTTTATGGCAGATACAGCGTAGATTGGAACGTTGACCAATGCTGAATTAACTTCAGATAACTTTCTTCTAGCACTCTGTTTAAATTCTGACAGTATTTCATTAATTATTTGCTGTGAAGGTTTTTCAGGATTTTCTTCTAGTTCATTTTTAACCTCTTGATCAACTTTTGTTAGAACCAAAACTATTGGTGTACCACAGTTACATGCCTGTTGAACAATATCAAAATCAAGTGCTGTGAAACGGGTGGTGCTTAGTAATAGTAAGCAGTCGAAGGCATAAAGCGCTTTATCTTGAAAGTAGGTCGCTGTTCGATTGTTTTTTGTACTGCCGCCGGGTATATCCCACAGAGCAAGATGTGGATACTCATTGTTTGGCCAAATGTAATGACGGATATCGGTTGTAACCTCACTCAGGCCTCGGCTAACCGGTGCAGACCAGAGACCGAAACGAGTCAAAAAAAATTCAACTCGACTCGACTCGACTCGACTGAACCATTCAATCGACTCGGCTCGACTCGGCATGCATCTAAAAAACATCTGACTCGGCTCGACTCGAGCCGAGTTGAGTCGAGCCGCCGAGTATTGATTCAAAATCGAATGTTTAGAAGTACATTCTTAATATCAAGAATGAGAAGAAATTTAGACACACATTTCACTTGTATCATAGTGTTGAAACATCCATGTCGGACCGCACGAAAAGGAAACCGTCAGCTTCAGGAAATTGCGACAATTTCTTGAAAGCAGTATTTGAGACTTGGAGATCTCAGATTTTTTTTCTGTGTCTTCCCATTAAAATCCTGTCTTTGTCGCTCAAAGGTGGTCGGAAGTCATCGAAAAAGTCCTTCGCTCTCTCCACTTGATGTACTGCTTCGATTTTCTATCGATTTTCGGAGGTTCTCTGTCAGAAACAGAAATTTTCTACAAGTTTTCTACTCGGTTTCAGAGCTTGGAATTATCGTCTCAAATAATTCTGAATCATTTTCTTGCGCGATTTCGGCAATAGTGCAGGCCGATTTCTTCTCCCCATAAATGTTCCAAGACTATTCGCAACGGTCCTATTGGATGGAATGGTTAACATATTTCATCGATTTCAATATTCTAAATATGATCAAATATTTGATCATATAAACATCCATTCTGTTTTGATCATCTTTTTGCGATAGATAATGAAATAATGCAATACACTACTAAATCTGTTGCACGTCGCATGCCGATCACTTACATAGGCTGACGATCAATCAAGTCATTGCATTCTAATTAATCTTTGAACAGTCAATAATGCATTGAATACAATGAAAGCTAGTGTATATCATTCATTGTAGTTTATTTAGCGTCGTCAGTTCATCGCTATCTATTCATTTTAATGCTTTGTTCAACCTATTCATTGAAATGAATTGACATTGTCTGATCTCGGTTCGTCTAACGATGATGATGGCTAATATTGAGAAACAAATGATAGAATTATGAAGAAATTTTTAAAAAGTCGAATCGTTGGGGTCAAATTCGACTCGACTCGACTCGACAGTAGATCTGACCGGACTCGACTCGACTCGACACATTTCTCAAACTTCGCACTCGGACTCGACTCGACTCGGCGTGAACCGAGTCGAGTCGAGTCGATTTGTCGAGTACTCGACTCGTTTTCGGTCTCTGATGCATACTCTTATGTTTCTTTCTATGTCTTGAAAATGACTCCCAAGTGAGTCGAAACGTCGACATGTAATTATGTATCTACAGGATATCTGAAAAGTAGCTCCCTATCTTAAATTCTTTATTACTCTCAAACAACAAAAGATATCATAACGAATTTTTTACTGTTTTGAAGCATGTACCAGGGCATTTTGTTGTACATGATACAAGTCGATTGATCATTTGACGGTCTAAGATCAAACACGAATTTTGTCTAGAGAATATCTGAAAATAACTCATTATTTTGAGAAGTTTATTATTGTTCAATGAGAACAGATCCTATAACAACTACAGAAGTGTATGAACAACCGAGATTCCTATGTAAAAATTTGGGACATTGTATGTTATAGTATTACGTACACCTCAAAATAGTCAAAAATTTGTTATAGTATCTGTTGTTATTTAACAACAATAAACTTCTGAAAATAATGAGTTATTTTCAGATATTCTCTAGAAAAAATTCGTGTTTGATCTTAGACCGTCAAATGATCAATCGATTTGTATCATGCACAACAAAATGCCATGACACATGCTTCAAAAGAGTGAAAAATTCGTTATGATATCTTTTGTTTGTTTGAGAGTAATACAGAATTTAAAATAGGGAGCTACTTTTCAGACGTCCTGTATATGTTTTCTTTTTCAATAAATAAAAAATATCTCACAAAATGTTTATTGCTACTGTTAAATCAATAATTTTCATCTTTTCCGCCATTGTATTTTTTGTCTAAAGTGTTATAGCTCTACATCATTATCTCACCGTTCTTCTCCACCTTATTTTACTCAGGAGAATTATGGTTTCAGACACGTTCGTATTGAACAATCGCTTGGCGAGCGCCGAAATTGTCCAAGAGCCCAAACAGTTGTTGACACCCATTCGAGGCTATGAAAAAGAGCAACTGCTTTCGCTAGAACAAGCATGTGAGCCACTCAAAGGCATCGTCGACCAAAACGAATTGGACACATATATTGTCATATCTAAGATTAATTCAAAGAATCCTGCTGATGGGTTGACCCAAGACGAATCGGCCTCCTTACATCTCTATACGATAGAATGGGAGGACTCGAAGAGGAGCCTCTATGCTGTGCTCAATCGAACTCTGCGAAAAGACGATCGTCAGCAACTCCGACCTTGGTTCAAATATCTCAAACTATTTCTTACTGCTCTCTTCAAACTACCGTATGTATGCTTCTATCGTTCGGAATTTGATTTAAGAAGATATTCCTATCACTTTGTAGGATCCATAAATAGAAGACGATCGGACTAAAAGAGGTCTATGATGAGTAGTACCATAAAAAAATTGCAGCTGTGAAAAAAGTTACAAAATCCCTAACTACGAATGCACGGCTCCAAAAACCGAAATAGACACAAGAAAGTTATTTCAATGAAAGATATCGTTGGAATTTTCTTATGCTGGTGATTTCACTGAAATTCTGTAACCCTCATATGATACCAGCAACGCCCTTTACTTGTATACAACAGCGATTTATTAGCATTACACATAATAAAAACGTAAAATTGTCGGAAACGCTCTCATCTGTGCGGACCTAGGTCCAAATGTTTATTTGAAATGGACTATAGCGATTTATGTATATTGTGCCAGAATAGAGACCCTTAATATGAGACTGGAGCTTCTACCATGAGAAGAGAATTATTAATTCTTCACTATGAGCGTCAAACTATAAGTCATTGATGTGATTTCATTTGAGACAGATCTTTGTTAGTGTTTGATACTACGGTGAACCCAAAAAACTGAACATCGTGGAAGGATTGATGAAATATTTGTATTTTCTCTCTTGGTAAGTAATCCTCTCTTTATGTAGGATGTCTATTTAGGTCACTCGAGCGGCAAACTGTGTGGCGAAGTGTGTTAGAAGATTTACATGATCTCTATCCAGATGGAGAATACCTGACTTGACTGAATATTCAAAAAACTCATTATTATTTGTCGGAAAGATGAGTTTCACGACTGTTTTTGAAGTTTTAGTCCACATCATATGTGCATAACTCAAGGTGGACTCTCAGTTCGTGCACTAGCACGCTCAAAGTTCTTGAGTCTCCTGAATATTTGGGAACCTCGGGCACACGCACGCTGTTCTCTATTGAGACTTCCAATGGAAAGGACATAAGTCGACATTCCTACTTCAAACACGAAGAAGAGACCCCTCTTCTACCGGGGACCTACTTACAAGTGCGAAGTCACGTGAGTCCTACGCTTCAATGATGTCTGTGGAAGAGAAACAATCGCAATACAGAAACAATATGCTCGACGCCAGCCTTGAAGAGAATAAGCAAAATGGGATATGGGGCTTTTTCCTCTTGATGAACCTATTGGATGATGATGCGAATTTGATCGCTGATAAACTTGTGACGAATCGCACATGGGAGAGGCTCATTCTGGGAGAGAATAAAATAACAGATCTTGGAGCATCTTATATTGCTCAAGCACTCATACATCATCCGACCTTGAAAGTACTGCGTCTACATAATAATTCAATAGGCGATCAAAGCGCCATTAGTGTTGCCAATGCTCTTACTTTCAATCGGTGTCTAACTCAAGTCTGGCTTCATAACAACTCAATCAGTGACCGAGGCGCTCGAGCATTTTCCGAAATGCTACTACAAAACTCGACTTTGCAAGTGCTCTCCTTGTCGAATAACCAAATCGGTGATGTTGGCTGCATAGCGCTATGCGAAACGCTGCTAACAAACTCAAGTTTAATGTACTTGTCGCTCGATAAAAATCAAATCTCTACGAAGAGCCAAGATTCAATCACTGCGATGTTGAAACGAAATCAAACGCTCAAATACTTGCGGATTACAGAGAATCCATTCCTAATCGCTGCCAGAAACAGAAAAAAACTTGAACAAGCTGCACGGGAAAATAAAACATGTCAAGTAATGTTATAATGAAATTTAGATTGACTAACCCGGACATGAGAAACAGCTTCTTCTGTCATTCTATCAAAATTCAAAAAAATATTGATGAATAAAAAAATCAGTATGTTATATGCATTGGAGAGATATTTCGTTCTGTCAAAAGACATAACTCATAGTTATTTTAGAAGTTCGTGGTTGGCAAACATGAAAGATATGATTTGTACACATGTTACTCACGGGTATCTTCAGGTCACTAAGATTCGAGAGGAAACGCGTGGGGGTGATTGTGGATGGGCATGTGCGTGTGCGTGTGCGTGTGGCTGTCAGTGAATAGTAGATGCGCAACCACACCTACACTCGCCCACACCCACATCCGCTCTCACATCCACACCCGTACCCACACCTACATTCACACCCACATCCACATCCACTTATTTCTTCATTGTTTCATTAAATCCAAACATAAATGAAGAAATATCAGAGACTGAATGATTTTCTAGAAAAATATTGATATCCTATATGTGTCAGCTCATTTGATGGCATTCATGTGAATGTTGAACTATCTTTAGTAGCAGAAATTGATTATTTTAATTACAAATAATATCATTCAATTGTTATGTTAGCTGCTGTTAGTAATTCTTTGAAATTTACATACGTCAATGTTGGTGCACTTGGACGATATAATGATTCATCTGTATACAGTCGATCAAGTTTAGTTGAAGTAATTAAACATCAAATTTATGAATGTCATTATATGATTATCAACAACATTCGTATTCAAGCACACTTAATTACAGATTCCGCATTCGCCTTAAATTCAACTTTATTAAAGTCGCATGTTGAACGGCTGAACATGCCTCGTGCTCATTCATTATGTAATTACCGACTAAGTCGGTGCAGAAACGCAGTAGAACGAACGTTTGGTTCATTAAAAAAATTCCTTTCATCCTATACACGAAAAAGATGGAATATGACTTAAGTCATACAACTACGATTGTTCAAGTTGCAACAATTCTTCACTCTAAGTTAAAATGTGTCGCATGTGTCGTGATTCGCAACACATTCCACGATACATTCAAGCACGACATGAGGTGCTCATTGCGACACATTTTCTCCAGCAAGCGTACGGCACATTATCCCACGACACATCCGACACATTCTGAAACCGCGGTTTGAGTCTAGGTTTCACCGTATCTATAATTTTTTTTCTTTGATGCATTATATCCATCAATATTTAATTAATACAATTAACGTCAGTGTTTGACGCAGCACTGTAAAATAGTCTGATCTGGAGACCCAGCCGTGTAAGGCTGGTCAGATCTTGGTCAGACTACTGCCAGGTAGACCTCTCTTAAAGTGAGGTCATTATTTCTCGAAATATTTACAAGAAATATATAATCGAGAAATGTATTATATAGAATGGTGCACGAAAACTTATGATTCTCATGTAATGTTTCAGTTCGATTATATATAGATATACATGCGGAATAAAATGGTGAATGAACAGTCGTCATATATGTAGAGAACGGTTAAAAATACGGCACATTAAAGTGCGACACATTTTCTTGCTGAAACCCACGACACTATAATGTACGACGGAAAAAGTCGACACATTTTAACTTAGAGTGTTCATAATATGTGCATTACTGGTGATGATAATGCAGACATGGACTGAGATATTTCTCAACTGATCCACCAGAAACCAGCCTGCAACATTCGCACTACAGATGGAACTCAAATAAGAGAAGCACCTACTTCTTTTTTTTTCGCATAATCCTTTGTAATTTTTTTTCTATTAATACTATTATGTAAATAAATTGTTTATTAATTCCTGCTTCTTTATTGTTTTATTCTAGTGCCATGGAGGGCTTTGTATTTTGTACCTACCAGAATTCAATTATTTGCCCTTCTTTTTTTCCTCATGTTCTCATTTGAAGTCATTGTAGATGAAGATCGATGAATCTTTTCTATAACGTCAAGGTTAGGTTGTTTTGACTAGATACATCAGCAGTGTGCTGCTTAACGAAACGGTAGCAGTACAATAGCGACATTTGTTATCCAAGCAACACTTGCAATTATACAATTCATCATATTCTAAGGGCACTTGCTATGCTTTGATTGGTAGCTTAATTATTGAATGTGTATTTGTGCTGAGTTAAACGAAGATAATACTGTTTTACTTCTCCAGTGTGTATAAGATCTTAGCTAATATATGCAAGTATGTATCTTCTGATTGACTGACTTGTTTTGTTTCACTTAAATTGTATGAATACCGACTGAGGATCATACAGACCTTCTTTCGTATAAAATATATGAATGTATTTAATATCCTGCTTACATAAAGATAGAAACAAATACCTTATTTTTATATTATCATTTTTCTTATCTTTGCTTTCTAGATATACAGTGCACTATCAGAAGAAAGGACGGTTTCATATGTAATTTCATATTTGTCTTTTTTACATTTTATTTAGTTTATATCTTTTCTGTGTACAAAACATGTCGAATACAAACGTTGCTCAGCAAGCTATTGCATCAGTTGTGAGTGACTCACCAGCTGTTATAGAACGATGGAAACGAGATTTTTCGCAGACAAAAACTGATGGAATCACATATGATTACATTGTTGTTGGCTAAGGCTCAGCTGGTGCTGTCGTAGCTAATCGTCTCTCAGAACAAGGTGATAAGCGTGTTCTTCTTATTGAAGCTGGTGGTGTCGATACAAAGGACCAAATACATATGCCAGCTGCTTGGTAAGTGAGAACTCGATCAAGTTCAAATAATCAGAGTATCACATATAGTGTGATCAGTTTTGACAAAAGACAACTGTTCTTAAAGTTTTACGTTTCTTATAGAAGAGATTATTCGATAGAAAAATGATCTTCTCACAAGTACTAATGTAATTTCGGTCAAAAAGCCGTGATTTTCGAACTTTACGTAAAATATTGTCGTACAACCAGTTGTGAATACAGAAGAAAAGAAGTTCGAACAAAAGTTTTCATTTCTTTTTATAAAATAGAAAACAAAATTTCTAAGAAATAAAGCTAGGAAACTCAAGCGAAATCTTACTCTGCTTCTTTCAGTTAGAGACATTTTGCCACTCGCAGATTAAAGTATGTCGTTTTTTTTTGTGTTCTAGTGGTAGCTGTCAGCTTGGTGAAATTGATTGGCAATATAAGAGTATACCTCAACTTTATTCACATTTTGGTTGTGTTAATCAACAAAGTAATTGGCCACGTGGTAAAGTTTTAGGTGGTTGTTCTTCTATAAATTATCTGCAATATGTTCGTGGTGATCCACATGATTATGATAATTGGCAATTACCACAGTGGTCATTTCAAGAAATGTTAAAATATTTTAAAAAATTAGAACGTGCCGATCCGAACACAATTCCAAGGAATGAGCATTTCCGTAATCATGATCAAGGTAAAGGAATGATGGATGTAACAATACTTGAAGAACCAAATCCAACGAATCGATTGTTATTGAAGCATGTAAGACGAATGGATTTCATGAAACTAAAGATTACAGTGCCGAAGAAAGTCTGAATGGGCGTGTATCAATGTCACAAATATCAGCAAAAGAAGGAAAACGTTGGTCAACAGCAAGTGGTTATCTCTTGACATCAGTAGAAAGAGAAAATTTTGACTTGCTAATACATGCACATACTTGTCGAGTAGCATTTGATGAGCAAAAGCAAGTATCCGGTGAGTGTCAAATTAAAAGTGTTTATTTGTAAAATAATTTTGATCGAGACTGTAAAAAGTTTTTTTACAAGTTCCTTCCATCTTATTCTGTAAAAATTTTCAAGATAGAAGATACGAATTTGCTCGAAAGTAGTTTTTGTCATGTTTTTGTCTTTATTAACAAAATTTCGTCTAAAGCATACAGTGACGATAGAAAAGGCAAAATAATGTGAATTCGACAGAAATGCAATGTCTTTCTTGTTAATTTTCACATGTCAAACTAGCAGAAATGTCGCGATCTTTTTTAATGACGTTCAATGTAAATGATATTTTGAAAAGTGACTGGAAATTTACTTTTCAGAAGGTTTCATCTACTTTTTGAACGAAACGCTCTTCATATTTTTAGGTGCCATTGTTAAACGTACTAACTCATTAGATAAAGAGGAATTTATCAAAGGTAAAGAAGTCATACTATCAGCTGGTACAGTTGGAAGTGCTCAAATACTTCTTCTCTCTGGAATTGGCCCTCGAGAAGAATTACAGAAACATCAAATACCCGTAATCGTTGATTTGCCTGGTGTTGGTAAAAATTTACAAGATCATATGATGACTATTCTAGTCTATCTTACTCACATACCAACACTTTCAACTCGTGATTTGACACCTGAAAACTTACAAAAATGGTCAACTCAAGGAAAAGGTCCCTTAACTTCATGTGGTGGTGAATCACTAGCGTGGTGTCAATTGAATGGAAATGGTAATTCGAGTATAGATTCAATTTTTTTCTATTAGTTCACATTGTCATCGTTAATTATCTATTCGTCTAGATAAAACACAAGTACCTGATATCCAAATGCAGTTCAGCCCGTTTACAGCTGATGCTGAATTCTTTCGAATCTCTAATTTTAAACCAGAAGTTTATGAACAATATTTGAAACCACATCTAACTGATGAATAACAATGGACTGTTTTGTACTTGCCCACACTTCTACATCCAGAATCAAAGGGTGAAATTACACTTGCAAGTCGTGATCCTCTCGCACATCCAATTATCAATGCAAATTATTTAAAGGACAAAGAAGATGTTCGTAAACTGGTTGAAGCATGTAAACTAGTTGAAAAAATTTGTCAGACTGAATCACTGAATAGTACGCTCAAGTCAATGGCAAAAGAAATGAACGGAGACGAAGCAACAGAAAACGAAGATCAATTTTGGGAATCATATGTTCGAAAGTATACTATTACAATCTGTCATCCGATTGGTACCTGTAAAATGGGAAAAGAAGAAGATCCTATGGCAGTTGTAACGCCTGATACACGAGTAAAAGGCGTAAAAGATCTACGTGTGGTTGATGCAAGTATTATACCAAACACTATTTCGGGCAGTACAAATATTCCAACAGTTGCAATAGCCGAGAGAGCAGCAGATTTAATTAAGAACAATGATTAAAAGAGATTGTGCTAGTTTTTTTAGTACTAAAATACACTTGATTAGTCTTAGATATTTGATCATTTTTAAAGAGACGTGGTGAGTTGAACGTTTACCTTTTTGTTTCTTATTTTAGTTCACTCAATACTTATATATATATACGCTTTTCGTGCTGGCATTGGTTACTTGTAATGGATGGTTAATCTTGAGCTTGCAAATGCTTTAATTTCTTTCCTACAGAAAGAAAGAAAAATCGTAAAACTGATATAAAAAACCTAACAGAAACACAAACTGTGGAAGTAAAGTACAAGTGCATTCGGGCTCAATGAGGGCACGAAGTAAATTAGCAACATGAATGTAAGCATAGATATTCAGTCATTGGCGCTCCATGCATTCACAGAGTTCATCAGTCAATCTATTGGACAATACGGAAGCATTTTGAATGAGCTACTGAGATACTCTGTCAGTTCTCTCAGGGTGTTCTGGTTTATCGAATGCATCACTTTTATCATTGTCAACGTTACCCATGTAAGAAATGTACTTGTCTTCAATGGAATAAAATGTTGATTCTTGAATAAAGTACTAGTCTAATCCTATAAGATCAACCCAATGCAGTTCAGATGAATTTGAAGGTTCTCGTAGGTGATTTAATTGATTCGTATTAACATCATTCAATGGTATTCACCGTCTCCGATAAAACGGTTTCAGGCTAGTCATAATATTGAGCTTAGAATTCTGATCATAATGGCTCTCGTAACTAGCAATTGACTTGAGTAGAATCAATCTCACATTTTAATCGTCTGAGCAGATTGAGAAAGTTCGTATGGAATTACTCGAAGATTGAAGTTATGTTGTCCATTAGTTTCGAGAATGCTTCGAAAAAGTTGATTAAAATATCTTCGTTCACAAGAATCAATAATCAATTTGATTGATAACCGTAAGCATACGAGTAACCAGTGTAGAAGTAGGGTGGTGTGGGTGTGGGTGTGGGTGGGTGTTGGTGTGTGGGTGTGGGTGTAGGTGGGTGTGGGTGTGGGTGTGGGTGTGGGTGTGGGTGTGGGTGTGGGATGTGGGTGTGGGTGTGGGTGGATGAAAATAGAGTGATATCAGAATCACACCCACACCCACACCCACACCCACACCCACACCCACACCCACACCCACACCCTGTCGTTGACATGGATCTATATACTTATAACTATACTAATTTACTGGTGAAAGAGCAGAGAAAACAAACCTGATTTGATGCGTAATTGTCTAATTGTGATCCAAACAATCAATCGATTAGATTTATCATTGATAAAACCACTTAGATTGCGAGGAATATCTCCATTGTACCAGTGTTGTACACGGATCTTGTGAACAAAACTGTTTTCTAATCATGACTAATATTCATCAATAGAGATAATCTATGAATCATAAAAGCATCTATGTAATACAGATTTTCAAGAAAAGGTGAAGTCTTACTTTTGTGTAATCAAAATTTGGATTACCGATATTTAGAAGATAACGTCGTAAGTGGTTGACTTGTAGAGAAGCATTGATATTCCGATTAGAGTAGGTAATTATATAGGCAAGCCAGATAAAATATAAGTACGCAAGAATTTCACGAATAGCAGACCACATTTCTATTTCCTTCACTCGTAGATTACGAGCTTCTTCCACTTCAACTTTATTTAGATGGTTAGCTCGTACTGTCCATCGGTTAACAAATAATGATTTCTTCTATAAAAGAAAGGATTTAATCTAAATGAAGAATTTAAGAAATCTACCTCCGTAGAATGAAAACAATCTTCTTCATTTGCTAAATTCAGATCGTCATCATTATCTATATATCCTGCCATTTCTTCGTCGTAATTTTTATTACGAAAAAGAAAGGAAAATATTATAGCCAAAAATACCACCGAGACATGTGTACATAAAAATATTCTTATAGATAATAAAATAAGATTACTTACTTTGAGCGGTTGAGTAAGACATATTGACGAGAAAAAGCCAATAGTAAGTAATGTTAACCATTGTTGCGTTTTTATATCACTAAATTCGATACCACGCGCAATGATAAAAATGATAGAAATTATAACTAATATGCATTAAAGAATATATGCAATAAAAATACACTACCAAGGAAAGGTTATTTCAGATCGTTTCTTTCTCTGACAATAGACAATATCTGTTCTATATCCTTTTACTTTTCTCAATGTTTCATTCAACGATAAAGGTTTTTCTTGATCAGGCTCTCGTTGTCTTATTTGTCGCAAGAATTGAACCAGTAACAAACTTGGAATTAACGAAAGAAGTTCCACAATCACACCAATTCCCATCTACAGTACAAGAGAAATCATGTATTCATTCATTTAAATGTAATGAAAAAAAATCCCCACAGATCTGTTCTGTTGTAATATGCAACGGTTCAAGAGATAATCCACTCGTTCCCTTGCTTGTGTTCGTTTCTTGAATCTGATCATTATGTAAAATATTGAAAAGCATCCCCATACAAAGTAAAACAAAACAACATGTACATCATTGAACACGAGTAAATTTATTCGATGATGGACGAGAAAAAATCGAAAATCACAAATGACCTTCCGACATACTATGATATGCTTGTTTGGATAAAACATATACAAATTCTTTCTTCTGTCCTTCACCTGCCACTGGTAACAAACGTTCAATCTAATTCCAAATAAAAAATAACTTATACTTAACATGAAGGAAATAAAACTTACTGCGCCATCATCTTTTTCCACAGCAAACCATCGTTGACAGATAAAATGAGCCTTTTTCATTGTTTGTAAATCACGAACAACGATATACTTGAGAAACCAAGATGCTGCGGGTGTGAGTATGGGTGTGGGTGTTGATCTTTCGTCTACTTACACCCAGTAAACGATAAAATGAATAATGAATATCGAAACCATTAAGGTACTCGAAACATTCAATAAATGTTTCATTGGATCTTAATTCCAATTTTGTGACTGCTCGCATTTTGTTAGTGATCGAAAGAACGAACATTTCTATTTTTAACCTTTTTTTTATACAGAAGAAATATGTACGGTGTGTTTGTCGTTATGTATTTTTTGACACACGTATTCAATTCTATATCACACATTAAAAGATCCTATTGGTTTGTTTCAAATTGTCAACGACAATTAACTTCTTTCGTTTCTGATCAAGCTGAAAATTACTATTATAAAAGGGTGAAGATGGGAGATAATAAAAACTGAAAAGAGAACGATGGACAAATAAAAAAAAGCACCAGTGATCTTTGTTTTTCGGTTGCTTGGTTTACAACTCGAAACCTAAAAGAAATAATCCTTCTGAGATCTTGTCTGTTGAACTGTAATCGATGAATTCTACAAGATCTGCATAAACACACGACATTTGCGACACATTACACATGAGGACACATTTTTCACTGGCCTATGATGTCATCTAGACTATTTTCATGTTATCAAAATGAAACCTTGTTTTTTTGTGTGTTAATGGTTTTAGTTCTTTATTTATTCATCAAAGCAATTCTAGATCGGCATAAATCAATGAGAGCATTTACAAAAAAGTCAAAATCCGTTAAGGTACTACGATGATTGGTAATACAGACTCGAATATGAAGACGATCTTTGAGTCGTGTTGTTGATGGAACAGCAATACCTTTTTCTTGTAAATCATTGACGAGTTCATCATTCAATATATCGACAGTTTCTGGATCACTGTTCTTCAATTCATCAGGTTCCACTCGAAAATTGACAATGTTAAGTGAGACAGGAGTAAATACTTGGATAAAATCATACTTAGACAATAAGTTGGCTAAATATTGAGCTTGATCACAATTGGCTGCAATTGACTGACCCAGTCTTATTATTCCATGTTCCTTAATAGTAAACCAAACTTTGAGAGCTCTACATGGTCGTGAAAGTTCAATACCCATGTCACAAAACCAAGGAGTATCACCAGCAAAACCTCGTTTGGTACCTACCAAATAGTTGCGAGGGGATGAAAAAGTGGCGTTTAACATGGAAATTTGACGTAATAGAACGCATCCAGCTGCATAAGGTGCGTGTAACCATTTATGAAAATCGAATGCCAACGAATCGGCTTTCGATAGTCCATCAATCAAATGTCGTCGACTTGGATCGAGAACCACAAAACTTCCGAATGCTCCATCAACGTGAAACCAAATGTTGTTCTCTCGAGCTACAACTGACAAAGCAGATAAATCGTCGAAAGCACCGGTACTCACAGTACCTAAACAGAATTCAAAATATTATTACAATAAATATTTCTTTCTATCAAAACAAACAACAGCCTCTCAAGATTGTTTCTGATATATTTTGTGAACATACCTGCATTTCCGACGATACAAAATGGTACGAACCCTTGTTGACGATCCTCTTCAATCATTATTTTGAGTTCTTCAATATTTATACGATATTCTTCGTCAGTAGGTATTAATCTGAGTGCTTGAACACCCAATCCTAATAATTCAAGAGCTTTGGCTACACATACATGTGTTTGTGTTGAAGCATAAGCGACTAATCGAACACCTAATGTAACTAAACCATCTTGTCGTACTTTGTTTAGAGCATGATAACGTGCTACAGATAAACAAACAACGGCTGCCATTGATGTTCCACTAACGATGACACCGCCAGCCGTTGTTTCTGGAAATTGAAATAATTGTTTCATCCAATCAATCACTTGTCGTTCAATAAGTACTCCACTATGACTACAAAGACCTACATTTGAATTCATTGCTGCTGTCATCATTTCAGCAATAACACCTCCTACTGTACCAGATCCATGAACCCATCCCCAGAATCGAGGATGCGCATTACCACCAGAATAAGGTAAAACATCATCAATTATATCTTGACAAACATCAGTCATTGGTTTTCCATGTTCAGGCAGAACTTCGGACATAATTCGATGTCGCACTTCATTTGGCAAGGGTATCCAAGCGGGTCGATCACGAGCCTTTTCGATGAAATCCAACGAAATATCAAGCATCTTATGAGCTTCAG